CACTTTGGGTGGCTTTGGGTAGGAGAGAGACCACAAATGACAGCCATGGTGGTTAGAGTTGGAAGTACACAGAGGACATGCAAGTTATTGGGTGCGCATAAAGTAATAAACTCCTTGATACATGTTTGAGAGATTTCTTAAAAGACTTATATTTATTTTAAGGTGTTTTGAATTAATTCTCTAACTGGGTTTGCTTCACATAATGAGGCCATTTCACTCTTCCAAAGTTGTCGGGGGAGGAGTGTGATCCTAGGGTTGAAGAATAGGGGTCCCATGCTGTAGGCAAATATTAGAGAAAGTGTCCTGTTCTTATTTTATAACCGTTCTAATTTTGTTCTGGAGTCTCTGTCCTGTTGGAGGTAACAGCTTTACTGTGCGGACTTTTCAGGGTCTAATGGCAGATATACATTTGCTGTGATCAGTTGACTTTTTTTCTTCCCAAAAGGGAGTATGAAGTTTGGAGGAGTTTATGCTTTGCGTCACTGAGGGATGGGGTTCCTCTATTCTTCTCTTGCTCATTTCAGGACCTCACTTTATAGAGGGTAGCTTGATGTGGTCCTTAGAATAATTGGGTTTGAGGTTCCATCTAGGTTTTTGGAGAAATTGTTATTCCACCCCTGCTGCATTCGTATTTCCAGTTCCTTAATCTTACTCACATCTGTAAAGTCCTCTCTGGCAAAACAGTCACAGTTTCTGGGGATAGGACACAGCCATACTTGGGGGCAGATCACGTGTGATGTCTCCTACTGCTTTTGATCTCTCTAGGTGATTATAGGGAGAAGCAGGGATGTTTTTCTTGATATAGGGAAGCAAATTCATTACTTTCTTTCACTAGATGTATGTCTTTCTTGCTTTGAACTTCTCTCTCTCCTTCCTTGAATCTTCTCCATTACCTCTTGATGGGGAAGACTTCTCTGGTGCCATATCCTGAGTTCTCCTCACCCATGGCTGAGAGTCATCCTCCAAGTGCAGCTCCACCAAGTTCTATTGCATCTACCATGGCTTTGAGTCAACCTGCAAGTTCAGTTCAGCCAGTTCTTTATAAGTAAATGGAGGCCTCAGAAATGTTGATCTCCTCGGTTCTTTCTCAAGAAAACTTAGCTTTCAAGATGGATATGTGGCTAGAAATTGAGAAAGCCTCTTTTGATAATGAAATCTGTGCAAAGAGCCTTCTTTTTAGGTCAGTATCCAGCCCCTCAGTGGTGTTAAGCTATATGGCTTGGGTTTCATGGGAACATTGTAACATGACGGCTATGGGTGTATGATAGAGAGAGTGTGCGTGTGTGTGTGAGAGAGAGAGAAAAAGAGAGAGAGAGAGAGAGAGAGAGAATTAATGTGTGTGAAAAATAAATTTATCAGGTGAAAGCTTCCAAAACATTTTTCCCTATAAGTCTTGGTTCAGTGTATTTCAGAGATAGGTACTAACACTGGTCTGTACAGTCTCCTCAAGTCTCTGATTTGTTGTTCACATTTGTGCAATGTGGTTTTCTTGTAGATTGACGGAAGGAGAAGTTCCAGGCCTGTGAGTTACTTCAGTCGTTTGGGTGCTCCTACTGCTATCCCATGGCTGCTGACATCTCCTTCAGCTTGCTGTGGTGATACAGATGCTGGCATCATCAGTGGTAGCGGGGTGGGATGGGGCGGTGAACATCATGTAGCTGGGATTACTGGGTGTGACTGATACTGGATATAAATGGATATTATTTAGTGTTGGAGTCCAGTCTGGCCCTCAAGGACCCTGTGACATGTCTAACACCCAGATCAGTCTTATGCTTACTTCTTCTGGTTGGACGGCTGTGTGCTTGAGCCAGAAGGCTCTCATCTCAGGAGCTTTGGTCCTCCCTGCATGCAGCTAGGTGTCTGGGGGTGGGGTGGTGGTTGTGTGCCTTGTTATGTGGTAAGGCAAGTCCTTGAATGATTGGCAACTGTCTCTGCAGTGTCTGTCAGTCTGGATCCAGAGTCTGCCCATTCCAGCCTTGATGTCTCTGATGATAAGACTAGTGTGACCTTGAAGGACTCGACCAAATACACAGAAGTTGGGTTCTATAGAGTCTTGGGTCATGAAGGCATCACATCAGGGTGCTGTTACTGGGAGGTGGAGATAAGGAATGCAGAAAGAAGTGAGTGGGCTCTGGGGGTCTGTAGGAGAGATGTGGAGAGGAAAGGCTGGTACCAGGAATTCCCAGAAAAGGGGATCTGGGCTGTGGGGGTGTATGGATATACATTCTATTCCTTCCCTGATAATTCAGAACTCCTTGTGCCAATTCCCCAGAGGGTAGGGGTTTTCCTGGACCTGAAGGAAGGGGATGTCTCATTCTACAACATGACTGATGGTTCCCACCTTTTCTCCTTCCCTCTCGCTTCCTCCTCTGGGACTCTGTTTCCGTACTTCAGGTTGAGGTCAGGAGATGTGTCCCTGACCATCTGCTCTGGGGTGGCTGGGCCTCTGCAGACCCCTGTTCCCGTTAACAACCCTCCTTGTTCTCCAGAGGAGCCTGTGAGCCTCTCAGGTCAGGGGTTCAGTTCAGGCTGTGGTGTTGATGGTGCTCTCCCAGGGGCTGAATCTCCATTACTTCCCTCTGGTCCTGAAGCTATGTCCCCATAATGCTCCAACACTGTCCCAGATTCCTCATGGTGGCTCCTCCTGGAGCTGCAGACTCCCAGGAGTAATAACCTCTGAAGTTAGTCCTGAATAACCTGATGTCTTGCCCTTCTCTTCTGGCTGTAGATTGCTGGGGTGTGGTTATGAGAATAGGTGGTTCATGCCTTATGCTCAGGTATTAGAAGATAAATTGACTTTTTCAGCTGTAAGGGGTTAGCTGAATTTCGCTATTTGAAATCATGTTTCTTTTGATCATGAACATTATTTCATGGAGTCTTTGTATTGTTTTGATATGAAATAAGATGTCTGAATTATTCTGAAGAATTAAATGGTGTTTATTTTATATAGTTTGAGTTGTGCAGATGAGCCCTGAGGCTACGGGTGGGTTACCGCTCTATTTTAGGAAATGTGCACTCTGACTAAAAAACATTGTCCATATGAACATTTCTGAAGAAATGTATGGCTAATGGACTTGAAGAAGATTGGAGTATAATATTCTATTGTATGTGCTTCCTATTCTGGAATGGATGAGACATACTTATCTTAATGAACCTTAGTAAATATCTGTTATTTCTTAAACACTGGTGCTGCATTAATTCAGGGAATGGGAAATGAGAGTTTGGGTTTCCTTGTGAGTCAACAGCAGTTGGAGAGAACAGAACTGCTACCAGAATAAAGAGGTAAATGAAGATGAGTGTTTTCAGACCCTGGATGAATTGCAGAAAGCTTTGACCATGAGCACAGTTCCAGAATCTATGTACGGCTTCTCAGTACTTCTAGTCCAATTGTAAAGGTGGATGGAACCCACAGGAAACACAATGAAGCCAGACTGTTGAGGACTCAGACCTTAATGAAGAAAGGTTTGTTGGCTCCTGAACTAGACCACCCACCTGTTGTGGTTCTGGGAGAGATGAGGAAGACACGGAATTGGAAGTGGAAGAAGGAAGTCACAGATCTCAGTTCCTGCCTGTGACCAAAAATAGGAAAAGGACTGGAGTCAGGTTGCGTATTTCTTTCTTGTCATGTAGATGTGTCCTTTTTATTAATTATCTATTTTCCTTCTCCCTTCTTACCAGTGTGATTTTATGCAAGTTGTCCCTGGTAATATTTCAAATATAATCTCTAGGTAACAGATTAGTCAAATGAGTGTGGCTGGACTTAAGGAATAAATATAACTGATTCAATGCCTGGGACTGCCTGTTTATTCCATTTTGAGGAAAGAGTGAGAACTTTTTCACTTGTTTAAGTGTAGCCCTGTAGATGGGTGAAAATGTGGAGTTGTTGTGTTGTTATATGGAAGTTCCAATGTGCGTAAATGGTGTATGTGGAAGTTGAGGAACTAAAAGTGTGAAAACTGCCCATTACTGATTCATTGTCTTTTGATTCAAATCTACCCTGTATGTGCCCTACTTGTTGATACCGGATGTCATAAATGTTTCATTTTTGCCATGTGGCACATTTGGCACAGTCTTTGTCAGTTAGTGCACTGTTGGGTTTGGCCATCAAACCCTGAGATGGTGAATGAAAAGACTCCTCCAGACACCTTAATAGGAGAAAGGAGAGGCCTGGGGACCAGACGCTCTAGTGGCAGAGGGCCTCCAGCCAAGCTTTGTCTCGTTTCATTGGGGTCATATCAATATACCAAGCACAAGCACAAAGCAAGGAGGAAAGTGTAGCCTTAATGGGCAGGACAATAATATGTGGGGCAGCGTGTGGTAAGGACAAGGAGGCTAGGAGCTCATGAAGTACATGAGCACCACATGTGCCTGTTTCTCCTCGAAATTTAAACATTTACTCCCTAGATGAGAGCCTTGAGGCGCAGTAAGAATGTGGCCACTTTCAGCCAAGAAATTTCAATGGAGGCCTAATGTTCTGGGCATTCCTCCTTTGTTTTTCAATTAGACTCATTCAGGGAGGCGTATGCAAGTCAGATTTTGTCTATGCAGACATTGAATTTCTACAGGGCACCAGAGGGAACACAGCAAAATGTAGCAGGAGTAAAAGCTTTTTTCTTTTGGGTTTTTTTTTTTGAACCATATTTTAATTCATTGGCATTGTCAATCAAGAATAAGACAGGATTTCTTTTCATGCAGGGAGATTGTTTTCTTTCTTTCTTTTTTTTCTTAGATTTCTTTTTTCTTAATTTATTTGACAGACAGAGACCACAAGCAGGCAGAGAGGCAGGCAGAGAGAGAGGGGGAAGCAGGCTCCCCTCTGAGCAGAGCCCAATGAGGGGCTCGATCCCAGGACCCCGGGAACATGACCCCAGCCAAAGGTAGAGGCTTTAACCCACTGAGCCACCCAGGCGCCCCGGGAGATCGTTTTCAATCTGTCGTAACATGGATCCACACATCTTCACCTTGGAAAATGTAGCATTTCAAGCTTTAGCCAGGGTAGATTAGTCTTTTTTCAGTTTCACAATATTTGCAGTGCTGCCAGAAGTCTTCTCAGCATTTGCTTTGAACTCGGCCTTCAGTGCATCTCTCATTGCTTTTGCACAGATCTGGGAGCACCGGATGTAGCTGAGTCCAGCCTGTCGCCAGTACGCCACCTTGATGTCGGGAGGGTGGGCATGTCGGGTCGAATCACGAGGATGCCTCAATGTTGGCTCGACGCACGGCCCAGAGGCAAGAAGGACTCTTTTTGTGTTTAAAAAAAAAACATTTTATTTATGTATTTGTCAGAGAGAGATTGAGTGAGCACAAGCAGGGAGAGTGGCAGGCAGAGAGAGAAGCAGACTCCCTGCGGAGCAGAGAACTCAAAGCAGGACTTGATCCCAGGACCCTGGGATCATGACCTGAGCTGAAGGAAGACATATAACTGAGTGAGCCACCTAGGTGTTCTAGTTTTGGTGTCATTTCCCCCTTGATCTTATAATGCTGCTGACAGTGGCCTGGAGAAGACTTAGCTTCTCTTGCCTTTGGGTGAATGAGTATGGCATTGTAGCTGGTTGTGTTCTAGAGGGCTGCCTCCCAGGGAATCTTGCCAGTTCTCTAGTGAGGGTTTTCCTGCCCAACAGGCTTGGTCTGCAGCATGTTGGTGAATTTCTTTCCTTCCTGGGGACTCTGGTCCCACCTGGTCCAATAAACAGAATGTCAGTCTTATTCTTTCAAATGTATTCCGTTTTTTGGATGCTCTACCTCAGTTCTAGAGGTAATGTCTGCTTACTGTATCTACTACTTCTGGTTTCCATAGAGCTTTTTTTTATCTCTTTCATAATTAAATACCTCTTTCTTAATAATTCTTTCTATCAGATTTTCCCTGTTAAAATGACTGATGTGGCTTCTGCCTCCTGACTGGACACTGGCTGATACAAACATCTAAACTGAACTGTATGTTGGAATTGTATGTATGCACTTCTCATAGTATATAGGAAAGGGTAGTGGAAGAATTTTCAGATTTACCAAACAACAACAACAGCAACAACAAACCAATAAAGCCATAAATATACTCTTTGGGATCTGTGCATATATTTTAAATGCTCTACATGTTAATATATTATCTGACATGTTCATCTCCTCCTTCCATATGGCTTGTGGCTTTATGACACTGGATTCCTTTTAGATGGGCTATGGGTATATTTCCTTTGAAATGGAGAGGAAAGGAAGGTATGGATGTGATACGAATTATCCAAACAAAAAGGAAATCTTTTGAAACAAGTGCACCAGTTGCCCATGTAATTCCAGAAAGAATGGTTAAAACCACACTCTTGGGGGGCGCCTGGGTGGCTCAGTGGGTTAAAGCCTCTGCCTTCGGCTCAAGTCATGGTCTCAGGGTCCGGGATCAAGCCCCGCATCGGGCTCTCTGCTCAGCGGGGAGCCTGCTTCCTCCTCTCTCTCTCTCTCTGCCTGCCTCTCTGCCTACTTGTGATCTCTCTCTCTGTGTCAAATGAATAAACAAAATCTTTAAAAAAAACCAAACAGATTCTTGGGAGGAGTGAGGTCAGCATCATGGCAGAATGAGTCCTTCCATTTGTCTTCCCCTTTCTGTTTACAACTAGTAGGATTCCAAAACCCAACAAAGGTTCCTCTGCACAGCACACCAGATGCCAAAGAGATCCATCCATGTTTACATCTGAAGAAGTGTGTATTGGGCCTCATGGAGACCAGAGCCCAGGCAGCTTGGTGGGGCCTGCTATCCTGGCTTCTACAGTGGTGGTAACGCTCACCTGTGACTCCTGTGGCCGAGGAGCTGGGGTTGGAAAGGAGTGAGTGAAAGGCTACTTGGTCCCGTGGGCTGTGGCTGGAGGACCCCCTAGTTATGAAGCCACAGCGCAGGGTCCTCTGAGGTAGGGTATCTGTGACTAGGAGGGGACAGTTGGGGGAAGGAAAAGGCAAGGGAGGGAGGCAGAGAAGAAACACTTTATGCACTGTCTGTCCTGAGAGTTCAGCAAGAGAACTCCCAGGTCCCTGGGACTCCTGAACTTGATGATCCTCCTCCTGGAGTGTGGGGCACACCCAAAGCCCAAGGGCTTAGTACATACTGGCCCTTCCAGAGTGCTAGCCTCCTACTTTTTTTTTTTTTCTTTAAGCCTGGTCTATACAGCTACCAGGGCTACTCTGGTAAGAGAAACCAGAAACTTGTTCTCTTCTGCCACTTGCTGTAATACTAAAGAAGGCCTCTAATCTCCCACCCATGAACTGTTAGAATCAAAGTTAACAAATTTTTACCTACAAAAGGTGTTGGCTACTTCAAAGTATTCGATTAAGGAAAATCTCTTTAAAGAGCATGAAAAATCATGGTAGTATGGTTTTGCTAAAAGAAAATGACAGTTCTCCAGCCACCAACCCTACATTTACAGAAGATTGTGATCTAAGTAATAGAGAATTCAAAATAACTGTCAGAACAGAATTCAACAAGATACAAGAAAATCAGGCAATTCAATGAACTCAGTAATAAAATAAATGGATAGAAGGAGTACTTTACCCAAGAGACCGAATTTCTAAAAAAGCAACAAACAGAAATTCTGGAGCTGAACTCAGTAAATGAGATGAAGAATGCATTAGAAACATTGGAAATAGAGCAGATCAGGTGGAAGGGAGAATACATGATCTGAAAGGTGGAATCTAGAGATGATTCAGGTGGAAGTGAAGAGAACTAAGGTTTATTGTTTTTTTTCAACATGAAGAAACCCTGGGGTGCCTGGCTGCTTCAGTTAGTGGAACATCCGACTCTTGATCTTTGGATTGTGACCTGGAGCCCTATGCTGCATGTAGAGATTACTTAAAAGAAAAACAAGCTTAAAAAATGAAGAAATCCTGCAAGAGCTACCAGTCTCCATTAGGAGAGCCAGTTAAGAATAGTGGGTATACCAAAAGGAGAAGAGAAGGAGAAGAGGGGCTGAGTTGTTATTACAAAAGTATTGACTGAGAACTTCCCAATCCTGGGGAAAGAAGTGGACATAGAAGTCTGTGAAGTTAATATATAATCTTATTATCTCAGTACAAAAATACCATCTCCAACACACTTTCTGATGACACTGTCAAATGTCAAAGATAAAGAAGGAATCTTGAAAGTATAAAAGAAAGTAACATAAAAATGAGCTCCCATAGGAGAGATTATCAGCAGATTTCTCAGCAGAAACTCTGCAGACCAGGAGAGAGTGGAATGACATACTCATAGCATTGACAAATAAATATTGCAAGACAAGAAATCTGTATCCAGGATTTATCTTTCAGACATGAAGGAGAAATAAAGACTTTCCCAGACAAAGAACACTTGAGGGAATTACCCACCACTAGTCCTGCCTCCAAGACATATTGAGCGGAACTTTAATACTGTAATGAAAAGATGAAGGTACAGAGACTCTGAGTAAGCTGGCAGAGTCAGAAACTGTAACCTTATTTTAGAATAGGGCATTAAACACTTAATGATAACAGCAATGGTTAAAGTTATTAAAAATAACTAGAGCTACTACAGTTGGTAACAAACCCATGCCAGGAAAAGAGTTTGTGACAGCAAAAATGTAAAAGGGGAGGAGGAAAATGAGAACAGCCATGTAGGCAAATGAAGAAAAGTTGCCAACAGCAGGAAAAGCACCATTTAATCTATGAGACATTTTATACAAACCTCATGGTAAGACAAAACAATATCTAGAGCAGAGAGAACCTTAAAAAAGGGCAAACTGAGGGAATCATCATGGAAAACCAGCAAGTGATAAAAGTAGACAGAAACACAAAGAAGAAGAAATAATAAAGATACAAAACAACCAGAAAAGAAAAGAAAAGATAAAATGACAATAGTAAGTCCTTACGTATCAATAATCACTTAAACGTAAGTGGGTTGAATTTACCAATCAAATGACAGAGAGTGCCTTGATAAATTAAAAACATAGACCCAAGTATGTGATGCTTTCAGAAGGGTCATTTTAGCTGTAAGGACAAACATAGGTTTATAGTGAAGGAACAGATGTGGATAACCCAAGCAAATGGTACCAAAAAGAAAGAAGGTGTAGCCATGTGCATATCAGACAAGATAGACTTCAAGCCCAAAAGAAGATATAACAGTTGTAAATACATGTGCCCTCAATACCTGAGTATTGAAATACATTAAACAAATACAGATCTTAAGGAAGAGATAGACAATAATCCAATAATAGCAGGGACCTCAATACCTGACGGTCCACAATGGATTTATCATCCAGATGCAGAATCAGCAAGATTCTAATTCTAATTTTAAACAACTGAGGCCAGACACCTGGTTCTTGGACTAGTCTTGAAAGCATATGCAGAACTATATTGTATTAGTTGCATTATTACCTTAGCTGCACGTCACGTTTTATTCCCTACTGAGGACGTTTTTGCATCTCTTAACCTCATGCGTGATTAATCACTTACTTTGCTTTTTACCCCTACTCCCTGTTTACCCACTGATTATAGAAACCTAATGGGGAGTGGAAAGAAACATTTGTTTCAAAATTATCTGACATACCTCATCATTCCAGGTCCTGAATGGGATGTCTTATTTTCCGGAACAATATAGAGCTCCAGATTGTTTGAAGGCCCACCCTCTCAAGGTTTCCAGAAACATCTCATCCTCCTCTCATACATTTACCTCCTTCCCCAAACAAGTAGTGGCTGTCCCTTTTCCTCCAGAGGGCAATGCAGCTTTGGGAATGATAGCCACCCTTCTCACTGGGCTTCCCATGTGATAAGGAAGCTTTCTTTGCCTCAAAACCCATGTCTCAGACATTGGCTTACTGGGCATTGTGTGCTCAACTAGTCCGAGTTTGGTAACACAATCAATAGGTCAAAGAGGAAATCAAAAGGGAAATGAAATAATGGTCTCAAACAAGTGAAAATGAAAATACAATATATCAAATTTTGTGGGTTGCAGTAAAAGCAGTTCTGAGAAGAAGTTTAGGGCAACAAAAAATTAGAAAGATGTCAAATAATCTACCTTTATACTTCAGTGAACTAGAAAAGGAGGAACAAATTAAGCCCAAAGTTAACAAAAGGAAAGAAATAATAAAAATCAGAGCAGAAGTAAATGAAACAGAAGCTAGAAAAACAATAGAAAGGATCAATGAAACTAAAAGCTGGTTCTAGAAGATGAACACAAACTGGCAAAAAGTTAGCTGATCTAAGAAAAAAAGAGACATAGTAATGTATGGTGACTAATATAATAAAAAAAGAAGAAATAAAAGAGGGTTATTACAATGGATAGGACAGGAATATGTAGAATCATGAAAGACTATGAATAATTGCATACCAACAAATTATATATCTAAAGGAAATGGGTACATTCCTAGGAACACACAACTGACCAAGACTGACTTAGGAAGATGTAGACAACCTGCACAGACCAGTCTAGTCATCTGAGAGGCACAGGTGGAGGCTGAAGGGCAGGAAGACAGGCTTGTAGGGGAGGCACAGACACCAGAGAGCCTGGGGTTGAGGAACACATGGGGCCTATAGGCCCCCACATTGTGACTGGCATACACAAGGAGCTCTCCTTATGGCCGTTCTCTGCCCACTGATAACCAGATGAGCTCTGACCTGGCTGAGTTCCAAGAGCCACCTCAACTTGCCTCTGT